CAGCTTTTGGGGGTCCCACCTGCCTTTTGTGCTCCCCTGGATTAAGCTCCCACTGCTCTTGTGCTACCCGGAGCAGGGCAGAATGTCTTCAATAAACTCATTCAGAAGAAGGTGCTAGTGAATATTTTGTCTCTTCCAAATGAATTAGCCACACAGAAAGGTGAAATCTCAGAACCTTGGTGCCTGGTTGGAAAAGATTTTAGGTCAAGACCTCTCAGCATCTCCTCCCCGCAAAACCATCTGCAAGTCCTACAGACCAAGCACCACATCCATCCATGCTGCTGGGATCAAGGGACACTTTCTAGTGGAGAAGGTGATTTTAGCAGCCTGGCTAAGCACCTCAAGCCTTCAGGGAAATCAGGACAGCCTCGGAGAGCATTTGGAAATGGAGAGGCAGGAGGATCTTGTGACCCGAAGAGATTCATTGGTAAAGTTTAGAGAACAATTAGAGTTGGAATGAGCTCACCCAGCAGCAGCCAGGGGCCCGCCCTGCACTGTTCTTCAGGAACCCGAGAAGCAGGATTCCCTCAGGTTGATTTCCACGAAAGGAAAAGAAATTCCCGAACAGAAAGATCAGCGGGGAGGATACAGCTCAGTGGTAGAGCACGTGCTTAACGTGCAGACGGTCCTGGGTTCGATGCCCAGTACCTCCATTAAAATAAAAATAAATCAATGAGTAAACCTAATTACCTCCCTCCAAAACAAACAAACATAAATAAAATTAAAAAATAAACAAAAAAGACCCAAACAGAAAGGTCATCACAGCTGTTTACAACAGGGTGAGAGCATGATCTGTTGGTGTCCTCTGTTCCTGATACCATTTAGGGCAGAACAAACCACCTGTATAAGTTACCTATTGCCGTTAACAAATTACCCTAAATTTAGCAGCTTAGAATAACATTCACTGTCTCACAGTTTCTGGAGGTCACCTTACCTGGGCGGTTCTGGATCAGGGTCCTTCACGAGGTTGCATTTGAACTATTGGCTGAGGCTGCAGTCTTCCGAAGGCACCGCTGGGGCTGGTGCATTTGCCCCCAAGTTGGCTTCCTCATGTGGCTTTTGGTAGGAGTCCCTGGTTTCTTGTTCCCTGTTGTCTAGAAGCCTCAGTTCCTCACCACCTAGGTGTAGGTGACCAGTCATTTTGGTTTGCCCAGGACTGAGGGGGTTCTCAGGATGTGAGACTTTCTGTCTAAAGCCAGGAAAGTCCTGGGCAACCTGGGGATGAGTTGTCAACTTCTCTCCCAGCAGGTTGCTCACAGTGTGAAGAGTGATCTGAGAGAGTGGCCAAGACAGGGGCCACAGGCCTTTGATGATCTAATCTTGGAAGTAACGTGCCATGCCTCAATCTGCTGTATTCTGTTGGTCACACAGACCAGTCTTGGTACCATGTGCCAAGCAAATATAAAGGTGTAAATATCAGGAGAGGGCCATCAGTGGAGCCATCTTGGAGGCAGGCTACCATTACCCTGAAACTCAGTGGTTTAAAGCAACCACCGTGTTAGTATCTCTCATGAGTCTGTGGGTTAACAGGGCTCAGCTGGGTGGTTCTTCTTCCCCCACATGATGTCTGTTGAAGCTGCAGTCACTGGGGCTCAACTGGGCTGGAATCCCTGATGACTCATTCCCATGGCTGGCAGTTCGCGCTTGCTGTTGGCTAAGAGCTTGGTGGAGGCTGCAAATAGGAGAGTCTTGATTCTCCTCCATGTGACCTTTCCACATGGCTTGAGCTAGATCCTGCCAGGGAACATCCCAAGAACCAGCACGTAAGAGAAAGGAAACAGACGCTACCTAATTGCCTAAGACTTGAGATCAGAAGTCCTTGAACATCTTATACTGCATTCCATTGGCCAAGTCAGTCACAGGGACAGCATAGATTTAAGGAAAGGGGAAATAAATCATGCTTCTAGATGTGAGGAACAGCATATGTTTATAGGGAGGGGAGGATTTACTAGAGGTTACTACCCTCCTTAATGGGGGCTACCACTCCCTAAACATTGTGCTACAGGGTCGGTCTCTCATTGGTGAATGTACAAAATGCCCACAGGTAGAGAGGCACTCTTTGATTCCTGAATCTATAATCCTGGCTTTATTTTTTGAAAAATAGTTTTGAATTTAAAAAATTACATGAGTAACTATGTAATGATGTTCATTATAAGTAATTATGAAATATACAGATAAGCACAATAAAAAACTCTATAATTCCAACACCTAAAGACAATACTATATAATTTTGGTACATAGCATCCTTGAATTCATTCTATGAAAAAATAATTAAAAAAATAAACTTACTTTACAAAAATGGAACCACTCTGTACCTACTGTTTTTGAACCTGCCATTTTCTCTTAAAGCTGCATTGTGAATATCTTTCTGTGACAGTTTAATATAGTGTGACCTCAGTTTAAGAGTTGCATAGTATTTCATTGTATATCTACCAACCAAGATTCTTGATTGCAACACCAGAAACCAGCTGTGGTTAACCTTATTAGCGAAAAGAGACATTTGAAAGGGTATGGAGCTACTGCTGTATAATAATCCACAAAACTTGGTGGAATCAATCACCATTTTAATACACATACCTTCTGTGGGTCAGGAATTCTAACAGGACACAGCAGGGATGATGCCACAAAGTCTGGGACCTCAGCTTGGAAAACTCAAACTAGGAGTGAGATGAAAGGCTGAGGTGGGGGTAGGGTGATGAATCATCTGGAGGCTTCTTAGGGGGGAAGGTGTAGCTCAGTGGTAGAGTGCATGACTTGTGCCCAGCATGCACAAGGTCATGGGTTCGATCCCCAGTAACTCCATTAAATAAAAATAAATAAATAATTACCTCCTCCCTAGAAAACAAAACAAAACAAAAAATACAAAACATCTGGAGGCTTCTTCACACACATGTCTGGAGATTGGAGATTGGCTGGCAGGACTTGAACCTTGGGTTGAGCTGGGACTCTTGATCAGTGCCTGTATTATGGTCCCTCTACATGGCTTGGGCTTTCTCAGAGCGTGGTGGCCTCTGGGTAGTCAGATACTCACAAGGTGGCTCAGTGGCCCAGTAGCTGGTTTTCTAGCAGGCAGAAAGGAAGCTACAGGGCCTTTCGTGACTTGGCCCTGGAAGTCACTGCCACCTTAGTCCATTGATTGAAGTGGTCACAAACTTGCCCCGATTCAAGGGGAAGGGACATAGTCTTTGCTTCCCAATGGGAGGAGTATCAAAGAATTTGTGGTCACATTCTAAAATCGCCATAATTAAGATACGCTAAGCTGCTTTATCAAAGCAAGTTCAATTTAGAGTGATTTAATGAATACAGAGGTGTATTCATCTCTCGCACATACAGTTCCAAGTGAGTAGTCTAGGTCACTGAGGCAGCTGTGTCCCACCAGATACTTACCTCTATGCCGCTGGAATCTAGGCTCCACCACAAACATGCAATCTTGAAAAGCACTAACTGTCCCTGGGCCTTTGTGGGCAAACCTTAGGTGGGAGCATCTTACTGGCCACTCAGCTCACATACTTGCACCTTGCCCTCCAGGGAGCAGGAAGTAGGCATATCTGCCTTCCTCCTGCTTCTCTAGTGGAAAGCAGGGGTGCTTCTTTCCTATCTCAGAATTTCCTCCTGAAAGAAAGGATGATCAGATGCTAGATACCCTAAAAGCAACAAATATCCAGTAGAATATGGATGTATAATATCCCACCGCCTATTGATAGACATTTGGATGGATAAGCTTCTATTGATAAGATGTTATTTACGCTGTTGAAAGGAACATTGAAACATCTTTGAATACTTGTAAGATATTTTTTCCCTTTAAGGTACACTCCAAGGAGTCATGTCATAGCTTATAATTTCTGTATCTAGTCCTACAGGATCCCACTAAAGAGGGCAACCTCCTCCTTTTCTTCAAGTCATGGTGGCAACTCAGCAATTTGTCTAAACTTGGGCGAAAGAATGAAGAGCTTCAGCATGTACTACCGATGATGTCCCAGGATTGAGTGTTCATGTGTCCGGATGATAACTCACTCTTGCTTATGGAGCATTGTGTGAAGGCTTTGCATATACTGTCTTGCTTAGTTTTCACATCAGTCTGATCAGGAAGGCATTATCTTTATTTGATAGAGAAGCTTAGGCACCAAGAGATTAGGTAATTTATTGAAAGCCTTAGAGCTGAAACAGTCCTTTGAACAATTTCCTCCCCCTTGGAACACTTGCTCTTAGGACACTCCCTCTCCTAGACCAGCTGCCATATTGTGGGAAGCCCAAGCCACAAGAAGAGGCTTTGTGTAGACCTTTCAGTCAACATCCCCATCTAAGCTCCCAGCTGCCCGCCAGCATCAGTTTCCAGCCACCTTAGTGAGCCAGCTTGGACTCTTGCCCAGCTCTTCAGCCCAGTTGAGCCCCTGGATGGCTGCAGCCCCAACCACCATCACAAGGAGCAGAACTGCTCAGTTGAGCTCAGTCAATCCAAAGACTGGTGAGAACTAATAATAAAATAGTTTTTGGGTTAAGTCACTAAGTTTTGATAAGATTTGTTGCATAGCAGAGGGTAACCAAATAGGTGGGGAGCTACTCATTCTTGGATGAGTCCCAGCAGAGCGTGAAGAGGGGAACTGCTCTGGGGGAACTGGGGAAGGGGACCTTTGATGATCCTTGTGAGTTCAGTGCACTAGGCTGGGTCTGTATATGACAGTTTTCCTTGTTTCCGTCCTCAGACGGGAAAAATTTCACTGAGTCACCAGTCTGGGAGGAGAATCTGTTTAAACGAGTTAACAGGAATCTGGCAATTTTCCCAAAGCAAATCATGTTGATTTTCACTACAAAGAAGGAATTGCTTAATGCTGTAAAAACTCACATAAACAGTCATAGCTTTATGACTGATTTGCTATATTTTCAAATTCCAAAAATGTAGCCATAATAACCATCATAAAAAAAAACAACAGTGCTTGAAAATGCTTAAACATTGTGCACGGTTCCTGAGGATCTTAAGAATGTCCTTATCTTTTGCAATTCCACAGACCTGTGGGCAGGAATTGGTGCCAATAAGACCTTTGGGCAGCCCCAGTTGGCACGTGGATCCCAAAGCAAAATTCAACTTCTCTCTCCCATTCAAAGAGCAGAAGAGGACGCTCACAACAGGTCAGTAAGATGGTGGTCTTACTAATCGTAGGCATTTACTTTCTATCCCTCACCGCTCAGTCCCTTCCAGTTGAGTGGTTTTCAAATCTAGGGGCATCAAAATCATTTGGGAGGTATGTAACAAATGCAAAATTCCAGGGTTCTTCCCGCAAAGATGCCCACTCTAAGTCTGGATTGAGATACAGTAGTTTCTAGCAAGAACCAGTTGATTCTTCCTTTGATGGGCCCCATAGCACATCTTGAAGAGCACTATAATCTCGGGTCTTTCCTAATAGCATAGAATAGAGTGGGGAGGGTATAGCTCAGTGGTAGAGTGCATGCTTAGCATGCACGAGGTCCTGGGTTCAATCGCCAGTACCTCCATTAAAAAAAATATTTAAAAAAAGTAACAAATAAAAGCAAGATTAAAAATAAAAGCATAGGATAGAGATGGGGAGAGCCCTCTCTAAGCCAAAGCTTCAGAGAATAGGATGGGCCTTGGAAGGGGATCAAGATGGGATTTTTGGATTCTAAGCCAGGAAGGATCTAACAAACCCATCTGGAGCAAATGGTTTTCAAACTGTGTTTCTTAGAACTCGAAGGGGTTTCTCAGACACGCTATCACCTCCATCCACTCTGGCAGCTTCTCTTTAACCTCTTTTACTATAGCAGGTTTCCAAGAAAGATCTCATTAGAAGAAAAGGTTTTAAAACTACTAAATTCTCTCCCTGCTTAAAGATAGCATCAGGTTGGTGAGGATGAGGAACAAGTAGACCCCTCATACCTTGGTGGTGAGAATGAAAAATGGTACAGCCACTGGAAAATAGTTCGGTGGTTCCTGAATAAGTTAAACAGAATAACCGTACGTGTTAGCCTGCTCAGGATGCTGTAACAAAATACCATAAATTGAGTGGCTTAAACAACAGATACTTATTTCTCACAGTTCCAGAGGCTGGAAGTATAAGATCAGGGCTAGGTTATTGGTGAGGACCCTCTTCCTGGCTTACAGATGACTGCCTCTTGCTCTGTCCTCACATGGGTGGGCAGGGGTTGGGGGTTGGATGGGAGAACTCTGGTCTCTTCCTCTTCTTCCAAGGGCACTAATATCACCACAGGGGCCCCACCCTCATGACCTCATCTATATTTAAATCACCTCACATACGCCCTACCTCCAAATACATCACACTGGAGGTTAGGGCTTCAACATATGAATTCTGGGAGGACACAGACATTCAGTTCATAACGCCGTTTGACCCAGCAATTCTACTCCTGGGTATATACCCCAGAGAGTTGGAAACAGACACTCAAACAGATGCTTGTACACACATTTTCATTGAATCTCTGGCTATTTACAACAGCTCAAAGGTGGAAACAACCCAAATGTCCATCAACTGATGAATGGATTAAAGTGGTATATCTCTACAATGAAATACTACTTAACCATAAAAAGGGATAAAGTACTGATACTTGAACCTTGAAAACATTATTGCTAAGTGAAAGAAGCCAGTCACAAAAGGCTGCATAATTATATGATTCCATTTATATGGTATATTCAGAATAGGCAAATCCATAGAGACAGAAGGCAGATTAGTGGTTGCCAGGGGCTAGGGAGTGGGGAATGAGGGGTGACTGCTTAATGGGTCAGGGATTTTTTTGGAGGGTGATGAAAATGCCCTGGAACTAGCTAATGGTGATTGTCGCACCACATTGTGAATGTACTAAATGTCATTGATGGTAGGCTTTATGTTACACACATTTTACAACAACAACAACAACAAAAATCCCAATCAATCGATCTAGAAGGACCATCTCATTTTTTTACTGAGAAGGAAGCTGAGGTCAGAAAAGGGGAAATGGCTGTGTGAGATCACCCAGCCTGTCAGAGGTAAAGCCAAGGCTGGTGACCCCCAGCCCACCACAGTAGGCTGCCTCTCTTCCTCAGTGTTCCTGATCCTCTACCCACAAGCCCTACCGAAAAAGCTAAGATCCAGGGTCATGCTAAGGCCTGAGCTACACTTCACTCCCTAATTTTTGCAGCCAAGCCCCCTGCTTCCCAAGCAAATGTCCACCTTGCCCACCCATAAGCTGGGCCAGCCTTTCCTCTGGTATCTCCAGCGTCCATTCCCTTCAAGAGTGTGGGGGAGAGACAAATCCATTTCCAGCTTCTTCCTTGAGTAAATCTTCCTAAGAGCCTGGCTGCAGCTGCAGCTTTCCGATGGGATTGGTAAGAGCTGGGTGGAGCAGAGCAGATTCCTTACATTACAAACATTGCTTAGTTTCCCAAACTCCAGCTGAGCAGACAGTCTGGAGGAGCTAGTGGTGGGCTGGGTACGATTACTCCCAGCCACATGCATTTGTGCAGTTGGCTCTTCTGTCTGGCTGTTGGGCCATATGCACCTATCAAGTAGTAGGTGCTTAATAAAGATTCCAGGGCACAGTGGTTCCTGTCTTGGGGGTCATCTTGGGACTGTCGTCTTCATTCTAGTTAAAAGAGTTTAGGAAAAAGCCTCAGGTTCCTCAGTATAGGAGTATACTTGAGTATAAAAGACTCAGGGTAAGCTTGTACGTGAAGTGAGAGTCATTTATCGGGTCCCCATCTGAGGTGGAATTAATCATCATTCTGGGAGGTAACAGAAAGGGTGTAACTCATTTGCATTCGCATTACTGTGAACTTTTAGAGATCGGGTCTTCTGAGGAAATCCCTTCCGGGTCTCAAAAAATTACTAAGGCTTTTGTTCTGTCCCAGATCCTAATCTTTCCTTGTATCTCTGAGTAATAGCCTCCAAACTGATCATGGATTTTTTAAAAAGTATTTTAAAAAAAGTATAAAAAGCAAAACACGCAAAACCATGCAAAAGGGCACTTGCAGGACCTAAGAAAGTTGGCTGTCTGGAGATTTACTGAACTCAGCAGCCGAGAACTCCCGCTGAGAAGGGACACCTAGGTCTGCCCAGTTGTTTCAGAACCTGCGTCAGCGTGGGAACGGGGCAGGCACGTTCCCTCAGTCCTGACAAGGTGACTGTCTTCGCTCAGATTATCTAACACCTTGAACTTGAACTTGGAGATTGGCTTCCCTCAGCAGGGGTGAACGGAGACATGAAGGAAGACAGCAGAGCCGCACTGGCTGCAGTTTCTAAATTGCCATTTGGGATAAAGCAGCAAAGGAGAGAATTGCTCCAATGCAGTGGTTTGGGGTGAGTATTTAGAACCTGAGGCTGGGGCTGACTTTGGTGGTTGTGTGCGATTTCCCTGCTGTGCGGACAGAGGCCTGGATGGAGACTTTCCTTTCCCAGGACAGAGAAGCTCAGAAACACTGTAGACTTCATTGCTAACTGGGGATTTCGAAGTGCACAACTCTGCTCAGTGCTCTGAGAAGTCCTGCAGAAGAGAAATCTGCTTTGCTGTTCTTTAACCCAGTGTTTCCCAGTTATTTGACCTCGGAATTTCTCCCTCACCCCATTTATAACACTTACTTATATCCTGTGAAAGCCAGGTTTCCGAGAAATGTGAGGAAATGCCTCCCTCTGTCCTGTGGAGTTGGTTCTGGCCCCTGATGCCCTACAGTGAGCAGTGACGGGGATATTCGGGCAGGACACACTGTGTTGGACCCTGCTGTGGTAACTCAGGAAAGTGTGCTGTACCTGTCGGGCTCCCTCCCACACTAGGATGTTGTGATTCTGTCCTCACCGACCAGGATACATGGATACTGACATTTACTGAACTCCAGGTTCTAGGAGGGTTTCCTATGTCATCCATGTAATCTTCCCTCAACTCTGTTGTCCCCTTTTTACCAACGATGAAATTGAGTCTCCGAGAGGTTATATAAGGTAGTCACTCAGTGAAGTCTGTGGCAGAGCTAAGATTCAGGCTGAGGATGGTGGGACTCTGTGCTGGAATTCCCTCCTCGGACACTGATGGCAGGAATAGAAAATGGTGCAGCCACCGTGGAAAACAGCTCAGCAGTTCCTCCATAAGTCAGACAGAATTACCTTATGTCTTAGTCTGCACTTGGGCTGCTGTAACAAAATACTGTGGACCAGGTGGCTTCAACCACAGGCATCTACTTCTCAGAGCTGTGGAGGCTGGGGAGTCCCAGATCAGGTTTAGTGTTTGCCGAAGGCTGTCAGGTGGCTGCCTCTCGCTGTGGCTCCCCTGTACTGTGCCACTTCACTAACAAGTTGCATTTTCATGTCACTCTTTCCAGAGTGTCTGGTTCCCATGAGTTGTTGCCTCATGTGACATAGGACCTCTGAGCCTCAGTTTCCTTATCTGTAAAATAGGAGAATACTTTCATTTTCTTCCTTCTGATCTTTTTCTTCTTTTTCTTTTCCCCTCTCTTCTTTCCTCTTTCCTTCTCCCTTAATTTCTTTTTCCCCCCTTTTTAAACTGAAATACAGTCGGTATACAATGTTGTGTCAATTTCTGGTCTCCCTTAATTTCTTTCTCCTTCATTTTGTTTTTCCATTTTGTCATAAACCTCAACCTCCTGTATTAATTTTTCCCCAGAAGATCCTTGAAACTGCACCATTGGATACTCCCCAAAGTGGCTTGAGAAGCCCTGAGGATTTTTCAGTAATAGAGACCAGAAGAGGAGGTGGCTGCTGATTAATTCCATGTCAGCCGGGGCTTTCTGTGCTCTGCATCTAGAATAGGGCAGTTTCCAAGGTGACTGAAATGAGCTTGTGAGGATAAGGTGAGGGCCTGGAGTTACGAGCTGCCAAACTCGTAAACCACGCGGGCTTCCTCTGAGCCACTTGCCAAGCGATTTAACAACTGACTTGGCGGCAAAGCGTTCCAACCCTATTTAATGATCAGTGCACCTATAAATAAGGTTGTAAGGACACTTTGGATGGATGTTAATGTACGGGTTCAGTCCAGAGTGACTAAACCTTGAGTTGTTTTGACCTCGGAGAGCCATCAGAAATCTGCTGCGAGGAACAATCCTGCAGTTGTCCGTGGTGATGTTTTGTTCCTGTTCATCATGTCCTCGGGTGTGTAATTTACTCACATGATAATAATGTGATGCTTGGCACTTGCAGTTTACAGAGTGCCTTCACACACACGTTTTCATTCGATCCTGGCAAGACAGGCATTATTACTGAGGTTTAGGGGAGACAAGTAACTTGCCCCAGGACGTCCAGATAGTGGGGGTTGGAGGTAAGTAGGGTAGGGGAATGGATTGGCAGTGGTGGTAGCAGAGTCCACATTTCAGATAAGGACTATGTTGCTTCCAAATTGATCTTCCTTTCTGATTCCACCAAATCCTATTTCTGGTTTAAAAGACTTGAAACAATCAGTGACTCCCCTGTCCTCCAAGGGGCCAGCATATCACGGTCCAGCTCCCTAGTCTCTCCTTTGATTGCTTTGTACTCAAAGTAGGCTTGCCAGATTGAGCAAATAAAAATGTAAAACACCTCCTTAAATTTAAATTTCACTCCTTTCGCTTCCAAAAATTTCAGATAAACTCTTTCAGTATAAGGAATTCCCATGGTATTTGTCAACTGTAACTTAAAATACTTATCATTAAAACTTTTTTCCTTTAAAAAATTAATATGAATTACTTACAGAAAATTTTGAAAAGTCGGTTAAGCAAAAGGAAAGAAATAGAAATTACTCCTAATTTTACCATCAGATAATATATAATGCTTTAATAGTAACTGTTAACATTTTGGTATATTTACTGTGGGCTCTTTTCCCATGAATATCTTTGTATGCATAAATTTCTTTTTTAAAAATAAAAAAGGGGCTTACTGACATTACTACTTTAGACTTGCTTTTTTTTCGCTCAATAATATGTCATGAACATCTTTCTGTGCCCTTATGTATTCTGTGATTTTTTTTGTGCAGGGGAGGTTAATTAGGTTTATTTATTTATTTTAAGACATGGGTATGGGGGATGGAACCCAGGACCTCCTGCATGCTAAGCACACACTGTAACACTGAGCTATATCCTCCGTACCTCTATTCTGTGATATTTAAATAACTGCACAGTCATCGATTGGATGGCATACTGCCTTTATCTAATCCCCTATGGGCAAATCCAATGTTTTATTATTATAGGCTTGTCATGAGCAACCTTTACTAAGTTCTTCGGCACAGCCCTGGGGTACATTTTTGGCACTAGAATTTCTAGGTCAAAGGATATGCAAAGTTTTAAGGTTTTTGTCACATATTGTCAAATTGTCCTCCAGAAAAAACTGTCCCAATTTACAATTTCACAAACAGTATCATCAGAAAGCGCCATTTCCTTGCATATTGTCAATATTGGGAATTATCTTTAAAAACAAAACAGAATGATAAAATAGCCACTTTGATTCTGAGCCTGCTCTGACTCCATAATCACATTCAACACTCTGTCCTTACAGAGTCCTACATGTAATGTTCTACACGTAACGGTCTTACTTCTTTCCACTGAGCCTTCAATCCTACAGGAGGGGAGTAAATTGGATTCGGAACAGAAACTACTACTACTGTCCAATCACATGTCCTGTCAGACATCAGGAATCCATCCTGCCATTTTTCCTGCGGAGTTTCAACAGGGCTTCAGAATCTTATTCATCCCAGCCTTGCGGGCGGCAATTACTAATGTAAAGAAAGTGCTCCATGGGGAACTTTCCCTTTATAGAAGAATGTAGTTAATAAACGGAGAAACTAATGATAATTAGAATGGCAATGATCACCAGCGGCTGTTTGCTTCAGGTTCCCCACTTGGAAGAAGAGAACACCATACGGAAATATTGCCAAAAATTTGAACCTCAACTTGATGATCAAGCTTCTAGATTCAACTATCAACTTGTGGGAAACAGAGAGAGTAGAGAAAATGTTAAACTACACTATGAACGTGTAATCAGTGAAATCCAGACTGTGAGAAACTGTATAGGTCAAATGACCTTTTTTCTTGGAAAAAAAAAAGCGTGGAGGGGAAATCTTTATAGATTAAAAGGTACCTGAAAGACATATCAATCAATCACAGCATATGAACTTTATTTTAAATTTTTATCACCTTTATTTATTTTAATTATTTTATTCATTTTTTAAAGCTTTTTAACTTAACTCTAGTTGATTTACAATTGGTGTTAGTTTCAGGTATACAGCTTTAGATTCTTTTCTGTTATAGGTTATTACAAGATATTGAACATAGTTCCATATGCTATACAACAAATCCTTGTTTATCTATTTTATATAAAGTGATGTGTATCTATTAATCCCAAATTCCTAATTTACCCCTCTCCCTCCACTTTCCTCTTTGGTAACTTTAAGTTTGATTTACTTCACTTAGTATGATAATCTCTAGGTTCATCCATGTTGCTGCAAATGGCATTTAATGGCTGAGTAATATTCCATTGTGCATGCATGCACACATACATGTTTGTATGTGTGCATACACACATACTACATCTTTATCCATTCATCTGTTGCACTTAGGTTGCTTCCATGTCTTGGCTATTGTGAATAGTGCTGCTATGAATATTGGGGTGCATGTTTCTTTCAAACTAGACTTTTTGTCTTTTCAGGATATACGCTCAGGAGTGGAACTGCTGAATCATATGGAAGCTCTGTTCTTAGTTTTTAAAGGAACCTCCATACTGTTGTCTATAGTGCTTGTACAAACTTACGTTCCCACCAACAGTGTAGAAGATTCCCTTTTCTTCACAACCTATTCAGCATTTGTTACCTGTAGACTTTGTGAAGAGGACCATTCTGACTGGTTTGAAGTGAAACCTTATTGTAGTTTTGATTTGCCTTTGTCTAATAATTTGTGATGTTGAGCATCATTTCAATGTGTCTGTTGGCCATCTCTATGTATTCTTTGGAGAAGTGTCTGTTTATGCCTTCTGCCCATTTTTTGATTTTTTTTTGATATTGAGTTGTATGAACTGTTTGTATATTTTGGAAATAAAGCCATTGTTGGTTGCATCATTTGCAAATATTTTCTCCAAGTCCATAGGTTGTCTTTTCATTTTGTTAATGGTTTCCTTTGCTGAACAATTCAAAAATTTTAAATTATACACCATTCTGAATAATATGATGAAATCCCACACCATCCCACTCCATCCTGTCTGAGACATAACTCATCCCTTCGTCCACCATTTCTACCTGTTATTTGATTAGTAGCCTTCTAGGTTATCAGATCCACTGTCTTGGTTTTGCAGTGCTTGTGTTCAAGTAACCCTCATTTTACAAAGACCACATTCACATAACTTTTATTCCAGTATATTGTTATAATTGTTCTATTTTATTGTTGGTCATTGTTTTTAATCTCTTACTGTGCCCTACTTATAAATGAAGCTTTAGTATAGGTATTTATGTATATATCGGGAACAACAAAGTATATATAGGATTCAGTGCTATCCAGTTTCAGGCATCCATTGGGGGTCTTATCATGTATCCCCTGCAGAAAAAGGCGGACTACTGATGGAGGAAATTGTTGGAGGTCTGGACAGAGACTTGCTGATAGTCGTTGTTTGGGGCTAGGTAAGCAGTATGGGACTTCATTATATTTTATCTCCTTTAGATAAGTTTGAAATTCTCTATGATAGAAAGCTTAAAAAATCTTCCCATGAGGTGACTTGCCATCTCTCAAGTTCTCTAAGGACCATCTTTTACATTCTCTAGTGACTTTGAACTTTTTCTAATCTCATTCATAGGGAAATTGTGAAATAGCCTGTTTTTGGTGTTCTCCTATCTCTGCCTTCCCTACCACCAGGTGGGAGGAGTGTAGGTCAAACTTTCCCCAACCTGTTCCCTATCCTATTTCCTTATCTGCAAAGCAGGGACACAAATAAATCTTGCTCACTTCCTGGAGCTGCTATGAGACTGAGGAGTCCATCTTCTCTAGCATTATCAAAATTGTGGTCTTCTTTCTCCCCTTATTATTGTGTGCCATCTTTGGTCATGAACTAAGGTCTTTGAATTTCAGTGTAATTTAAACTTCATAGTTAGTTGGAAAGTAATTCCCTCCTCTTCAATTTTCCCAAATAATTTGTATAGAAGTGGTATTATTTCTTCCTTGCTTGTTTGGTCAAATTCACCTGTAAAGCCATGTGGACCTGGGGCTTTCTTTGTGGAGAAGTTTTAGACTACGCATTCAATTTCTCTAATACATGGTACTCAGATTATCTGTTTGTTCTTCAGTGAGCTTTGGTAGTTTGTGTCTTTCAAGGAATTCCTTGCTTTCATCTTAAGTTGTCAAATTTATTGGCACAAAGTTATTCATAAATGTCTCTTATCATCCTTTTAACCTTCATAGAATCTATAGGGATATCTCCACTCTCATTTCTTAAATTGGTAATTTGTGTCTGAATTAAAGTCTTTTAGAAGACAGACATTCACCAGGAAGATAGAATTCCTTTGTTCACCTGAGAAAATCTACTGAAGTTTGAAATTTTTGCTTTAACTCATTTTATAGAATTATTTCTTATGCTGAATTAATGTAGCAGAAGGCTTTTGGGAAGCAGAAAGCAGAGAGTCAGATGAAAATCTGATTTGTAACCAGGCTCTGTCATTATGAAAGGAGGAAACAGAGGTGGTGGGTCATCTTTGAGTTTTTTGCATTCTGAGTTAGCGTCAATCAGGTAGTTTTGGTCAGGGTCGCTGACTCCTACATTCTGGATCCTTTCCAAACCATTCAGTGAACTACCCTATTATTTTGGTAGCATGTGATCCTAAATGATGTCACCACGCCTGTTTACTTTCAAACACTGGAGATTCTGACAACATGGACCAGCTCAGATAGTATTTTAGGTTTGCTTTTCCAGGAGGAGCCTGGGTGTAGTTTGAAATAGGCAGAAAACTGTGAGTTCTAGAGTGAGACAAACCTAAATTCAAAGTTTGACTTTGCCACTCACTAGCTGTGTACCCAGGGTAAATTCTGGAAGTTCTTTGAATGGTACTTTCCTCATGTATAAACTGGGGACAATGAGACCTACTTCAGAGTGCTCTTGGGATGTTTAAATGATGTAATATATGTGTCTAGCACATATTCTCAACTTTGAGTGGATCTCAGAGCGTGGCACCTGGACTAGCAGAATCAGTGTCACCTGGAAAAATGTTGAGAAATATAAATTCTTGAATTCAACTCCAGACCTACTGAATCAGAAAATCTGGGGTGGTACCCAGCCATCTATGATTTAATAAGCCCTCCAGGAGACCCCAATGACCTGCCATATTGGAGAACCGTGTGATTAGCACATTCTTTGGCAGATGGTAGAGCTCAAGATATGCTAGTTTTCTCTCCTTATTTATTCTTTCTTCTTCTTCCCTTTCTCCTCCTCCTCCTCCTTCTTCTTTCTTTCTTTCTTTCTTTTTCTTTTTTTTGAGGTACTGGGGATTGAACCCAGGACCTTGTGCTTGCTAAGCATGCACTCTACCACTGAGCTATACCTTCCCCCCATTTATACTTTCTTGATAACTATACTTTCAGCTTATTCTCAACTCTCACACTCATTAAACTCTTCAAGAGTTAAGAGAGTCTTTCTCTGTCTCATCTTCTTTTTTCTTTCTTTTCCCAAAGCTCCCAGTGAATGCTAGCATTCAGCAGGAACTCAGACAGTTAACTGCATTTCCATGTGCCACATAAGGACAGAACTGCCCTTGGCCTTCCAGCGCTTTACTTATTTATTTGACTTATATAGCACCTTGGCTCAATCGTGTGTCTGGAAGATGAAGTATTCAGTGTGCGTCTGGAGTGAATACCAATCTGGCTCTGACACCATGGACGTTGGGAGTGTAATGTCTTCCTCTCAGTGTCAGCCAGGCCCCACTTCAACCCCAATAAACATATAAGCCTGAGCAATGTCACAGACCATTCCGTCTTG